TTGAATTTCCAGGCCAGTGGGGAATTTTCCCAAAGTTATGCTTCTGCTGGTAGTTCTTGACTTACAAGCCCAACTGAGGCTGGAATTTCCATTGCTAGGAAGATGCAGTTGCTAAGAAGAGTCACAGCCGACTTTATATTGATTTTTGCTGTGGTCACTAAGCGAATCACTACAGTTGTTAAACAAACCTGGCATTCCACGTTGACTTTGCTTGCCCGAAGCATCGATCAATGGCTGTAAATGGAAGCAAGTTGCTTAGTGCCCAAAACATGAGAATGTGACTGCAGAGATGCTGTGATGGTCATTAGTGCATCAACCAATCCCAAGTCCCTTTTTTGCAGCATGTCAGTTGGTCAGTAGAGCTATTGAAGCAGCAGCCCCAGCTCAGAAGAAACCTTCACTCAGCCTGTTGCTCCAGAGTATCACATTATGGCTCTGGGAAGCCAAGCCATGGTTTGCGGGAATAGGTGGCTTCAAGATCTTTCAGGATAGGACCTTCACGAGATGCCTTCGCCAAGCTGGTTGAGTGGGACCGGGAAGAGCCGTTCCCATTCAGGCTGAGCACCTCTTGACAGGGCATTTCAAACAAGTAGCTGAGTCAACTTGTCTTCCTGGCTGGCTTTCAAGAGGTTGGGTGGGGAAGCCAAAGACGATCACCCCAAAGCCTGGGAGAGGGGGAGGAAGTGCTCAGGGCTGGAAGGCTGTTCCCAGGCCCTCTCCTGCATGACCGTTCATGTGCTCCCGGACATGTCCCAGCATGCAGAATGAGCCATAAACACTTCAGAGGCTGAGCCTGGCAAGCAATAGCTCCCCTTTGCAGGTGCAGAAGCTTTGCTCCCTAGAAAGAGAGGAGCAAAGAAAAGGGGACTTTGTTCTTTGGATGTATTGCTTGGTTAGCGGTCTAAAGTCTTCTCCTCAAAAGGCCAAATCTGGACATCGCAAGCAAAGGAAGATCTGTTTGTCCGATTTCCCTTCATTGACGAATCCCGGCTTGGCAAATATTTTAGACTTGGCTGTTTTGCCCAGTTAAGGAGGGTTTGGTTGGCTGGTGAGGGAAGGAGAGAGAAGCCACATGGGACACGGAATCTCTTATGTCACCACGCTGTACAAGAAAAACCTGACTCACAAATCCCTCCTGTTTTCTAATAAGCGTCTGGGAGGATGAAAAGCGAATCGGTAGGCAATACAGGCTGTTCTCGACTTACGGCACAATTTGGTGGGGGTTAGGTGAGTCATGTTCAATTTTACAACCTGTTGGGCAGAGGTCGTGAAATCACCCCAGTTGTTCAGTGAACCGGGTGGTTGTTAAGTGAATCACGGGGGCTTCCCTCATTGACTTTGCTTGTGGGAATCCAGCTGGGAAGATCACACATGGCGACAACCTCAGGATGCTGCAACTGTAGTAAAATACATGCTACTTGCCAAGTGCCCTCATTTTGATTGTGTGACCATGGGGGTTGTAAGTGCAAGGGCCTTGTAAGTCCTTTTTTCAGAGTTGTGGTAACTTCCAGCGGTTGTTAAATGAATGGTTGTAAGGATGACTAGCAGTATTGAGCAGATACAGGTGGTCCTCAAGTTGTGACCAGATTTGAGCTCAAAACCTGTGTTGCTGAGCAAGATCTTGAAGTGAGTTTCGCCCCATTTTACGACTTTTCTCGCCACAGTTGTTAAGTGAATCACTGCACTGGTTAAGTCACTAAAATAGCTGGTAAGTGAACCCAGCTTCCATTGGCTTTGCTTGTCAGAAGGTCTCAAAAAGATGTTATCTTCTGACCAAAGTGGTACCTATTTATCTACTCACAGTTGCAGGCTTTCAAACACATTACAATACAAAGCGCCCAAAAACCACCTCAAAAAAAAAAAAAAAAAAAAAACTCTGCCTCTGATCTCTTTCCTAACTGACCGGAGGACCCCAAAGGATTCCCATTGGCTCATGAACAAGTGTTGAACCAAGGCCAACGGACAGGTGACACCCTTGGTTTTATGGGGTGGTACCGCTTCTGAGCATCTCCTTCCTTTCCATTGGTGGTCTTTTGGAGCCCGGGCTGTTACTTCCCAAAGTTCACAATGTCCGTTGTGTCCAGTGGTGGGATTCAAATATGCGAACAAGCGGTTCTCTGTGTGGATGCTGCTTCCAGAAATCCATTCTGGGCCTGGGCAACAAAAAATTAGGTACCGGTTCTGCCGAAGTGATGCGAACCGACTGAATTCCACCACTGGTTGTGTTCCTTCTAAGGTAGTGAGTTTCCTAGGACATCTTGAGGTTCTTCAGAAATTTTTCGAGGCCTCCTTAAGAGGTTCAGAGAGCAGGTGGACCAGTTTTTCTCCAGCAAAGCAGCCTGCCTGCTTACTAGCGCCTGCTTACTGCCACCATACTACCCTGCAGAGCTCAGCCATGGGTGTGTTTCGCAAGATGTAATCACATTTTGCATGGGGTGGGGACAATCCCGTCAAACTGGCCTGCCTGGTGCCTGTCGGTGAATTCAGGATGTGCCTGAAAATGCGAGACACCGCCCTGCCAGAATCTTTTAGATTGAACATGCAGGGTTTTTCAGCAGGCGTACAGAAGTTTCTCACCCAGCCCACTGATGTGGAAAAGGGAGATGTTAGCTTCCCCCCAGATGCTTTTCCGGAGGCACTTTGTTCTCTCTTCCTTTTTAAATTTATTTTTACCTCCATCTCCCTCTCTCCTCTCGTTCGCATTTCCCCAGGCTTTCTATTTCTTTGGGATGGGCAGGTGGGGTGGGAGGGTCTTGCTTTTCCAGTTCTCGGCTGTGCGTTGTTAACCATCCCCTTTCCCCCATCTCTTTTTCTCTGTACGAAATAAAAATACCAGCCATATAATTACTGGCGTGTTATCTCTAAATATACAAATCAGGGAATATGCAGCCACAGCAGAAATTTGAAATGGGGAGGAGGAGAGAGGGTTGAAAGGGGCATGGTTGAGGGAGGAGACTTTGCTGCCTTTTGCTAAAAGAACCCAGGGCTCATTTTGCAATGCGAGAAGGAGGAGGGTTCAGACGTATTTAATGCCTAGTCTCACACACACACCCTTTTTTTTCTTGGAAGGTTATTGATTCCAATAGAAAAAGACTATTTGTAGCTCAGGGTTGAACTGTGGGGTCCTTGGTGCTCTCTGAGCCTGGTTTGTCTTCTTGCAGACGTTTCATGATCCATCTAGGTAACACCATCAGTGCTAGAAGGGATTGGGGTTTGTGAGGAGGAGGAGGAAGATGTCTATGGAGTCTTTGATGCTCTCTGAGGTTGGTTGTCTTCTTGCAGACGTTTCATGATCCATCTAGGTAACACCATCACTTCTAGAAGGGATTGGGGTTTGTGAGGAGGAGGAGAAAGAGGAAGAGGAGGAGGACATCTATGGGGTCTTTGATGCTCTCTGAGGTTGGTTGTCTTCTTGCAGACGTTTCATGACCCATCTAGGTAATGCCGTCAGTGCTAGAAGGGATTGGGGTTTGTGAGGAGGAGGTGGAGAAAGAGGAAGAAGAGGAGGAGGACATCTATGGGATCTTTGGTGCTTTCTGAGGTGGGCTGTCATCTTGCAGATGTTACATGACCCTTCTAGGTTACATCATCAGCTCTCCGAGAGCAATGCCCACTCCCTCCTTGCACTGATAACGTTACCTAACTGGGGTCATGAAACATCTACCAGAAAACAGCCAATCTCAGAGAGTACCAAGGACTCCACTGTACGGAGAAAGTCTCCCCTCCACCCTGCCTCCCAGCCCTTCCAAAATTCAGTTCCTATGAACCGTCACCCTGACTGGGTCTGCTGTGAAACTGCAAACTGCTCCTCGCCTTCATCTTTCCTCTCTCCCATTCGTGGTGTGCCCCCAAAACAACATCATCAGGGCCTCTTCCAAGCTGACCCCCTGCAAATACAATCACCTTGCAGCCAACTGGCTGAGGCTGATGGGAGCTGCCAGCTCAGCACCTTTGAAAATCACCAAGCCAAAGAAGGCTGCCTTGCATCAAAGCCCTGTGCCCCATTAAATGGCATGGCACTTCCTCCTGAGTCAGCACCCCTTAAGTTGCCTTGTAATGTTTATTTTCTTTCAGTGGCTGGCTGCTTTTGTCTCTGTGTGTGTTTGTGTGTGGGAGGGACGTTTTGTGCGGGGCGTGGGGTGGAATTCTATTTATCCATGCTCCCATGTATTATAGAATTGATGCATGCTAGATTTCCATAATTTACTTGTTCCCTATGCCATCCGCCTGGTAAACTCGTAAGATTTGTTTTTCTTGCCATGTATGTGTATACACCCGAACTAGACTGTGTTGTTTCTCTGGGCTATGTGTGTGTGTGTGTGTGTGTGTGTGTGTGTGTGTGTATGTGGATATATGCATAATTTTTTTATTTTTTTATTTATTGGTCATGTTTATGCAGTGTATACTGGAGGCGGTTCCCTTTGGGAGCTGTATGCAACAAAATCTCATTCTAATGTATGCTGATGAGTGTACATTTAAAGGGACAATAAAGTTATTATTCCATTATTCTGTTCTGTTCTCTTTCAAGAAAAGAGACAGCCTCTGCAGTGGTCTTTTGGGCTATTTTTGCACACAATACTAAGTTTAGTTAGCTTTAACCTTGGTTGTTTCCTTGGTGCGTGTGTGTGTCTGTGTCTTAGTATGTTGTGTGAACCCAGGCCACTGGGTGACTTAATGATTCATTGCGTTGTGCAAACCCAGAAAACGGGAGAATTCTTGCAACAAGATGAAACATGTTGCCAAATTGTCTCCCATTAATCTTCTGCGCTTTGGAAGGGCTCACGGGAATTTGTGGTTCCAAAATGACAACCTTGGCAGATTCATAAAGACAACGTTGGAAGCCCGGCAAAAAAGATCCTTTGCAGTGACATCCTAATCTTTGCGGATTATGTTACCTAGCTTGGAAATAGTAAAACAATAGTAACCCCAAAAATCTTAGCTTGGAGAACTCTTTTAAGAACCCAACATCTCCTAATCCTTCCCTTCCTCTTTCGTTGTAGGCCTCTGGGCTCAGAAGGTGCTTGTCAATGAGACGGTCTCTGGCTTCATCGGGACCGATGTGGTCCTTCACTGCAACTTGGTCAAGATCAATCACACGAGGATCACCCAGGTCACCTGGCAGAAGGGCAGTAATGGCTCCAAGCAAAACGTGGCCATCTACAACCCTGTCATGGGGGTCTCCATCCTGCCCCCCTACGAGGAGAGAGTGGTCTTCCAGAGCCCCTCCATCACCGATGGGACCATCAAGCTGTCCAACCTCCAGTTGGACGATGAAGGGATCTACATCTGTGAGTTTGCCACCTTCCCTACTGGCAACCGGGAAAACCAACTCAATCTCACCGTATTGGGTAGGTTGCCAATCTCTTTTTATTCATTATTATTATTATTAAAACTATATGCTGCCCTCTCATTGTCAGGTGATTCTGGGTGGCTTACATCACCATAAAAGCAAAAATACGAAACATTAAACATTAGCATGGACAGAAATTTGATAAGTTAAGATAAGAACCAGAATACAACAGGGTGGAGGTGAGAACTTCTCCCTACTCTGCTAACTAGCACCGATCTGGAACGCCCCATCAGGGTCCCATGCCAGTTGGCAGAGACAGGCTTTGAGGTCATTTTGGAAGATCAAGAAAGTGGGAGGGGGCGGATCTCACCTTGAGGAGCAAAATGTTCCAGAGGGTGGGAGCCTCAACAGGAAAGGCCCTTCTGGAAGCTGCCAGAGAGAATTTCTTGATTGTTGGGGTCCACAGCATGCCCCTTCTGCCAAAGCAGGTGCAACATTGCCTACCTGCTGGGGCTATAGCAAAGACAGAGTGTGCATCAGAGTGATCCATCCGTCTTCCCCTATGCTGTTTTATGTCCATGTGGCTTTACTAGTTTCTTAGTAGGGGTAGAACTAAGCGGTATCTCTAACCAGGTGAACAAGAGCATCAAGGATGGAATCAAGAGGCTTCATGATTTTGCCTTCCTTTCCAATCTTTTTCTCCTTTGCACATGGGGTGATTTCAGTCTCCTCCCACCGTCCCTGAGTGAGAGCAGGGAGGGGATGGAGAGCAGGACCAGAAATTCAGAGAGCTTGGAAAGGTTTGCATTGTGGTTAAAGCTCGGAGGACTTTTTCCCTGCCCAAAAGATATAAAAAATTGGTTACATTTCTGGGAATTAGAAACTTGTTTTTAATGGATTCAAAAATGAGAAACTGCAGGAGCAGAAAGGAGAAATGGCTTTTCCAAATTCAGAGGGATTCCTTTTCAGGTCTCCCCCCCCCTTCATAGATCTCAAATGTAAGCACTTGTTTTACCTGTCGGAAAACATTTCAATTTCCAACTCTTGGCAAACAAATCTAGGATTGCACCCAGCTCTCCAGAAAAATGTTTGATCATTTTCCTTTTGTTCTGTCTGGGGCTTATATTTGGTAAACATATTTTACTCTTCATGAGAAAACTCTCCACTGAGTTAGAATGAGAGTAGGAAATATTTGCCTTCCTTCTGAACAAACTTTGTCTTGTCCTCAAATGATCACCTGTGTCATCGGATGTTCTACCTGTAGATCGATTGTTCTGCAACGGCCTCTCACTGACTACATCAGCTATGTCAGAGTTTTTAGCTCTCTTGCAAGTTTGCTTGGAGACCCAGAAAACTGGAAAAAGCTGCATCAATGTTGAGATTAAGGAAAAGAAATTGACTCTGGACAAATGCAAATGTTTGTGTACAGGGTGAAGCTATTATTCAAAATATTGCACAACCTCCCAGTCAGGGCTTCTTGTTTTGAAAATATTGATGCAGACCATTTAATGTAAACCCCAAAGCAAGTTTACAGCAATAATATAAAAACAAAGCTCCGTAAGGAAAATGATCCGTGAAAAACATCAACATTAGTGTGAGTTAGTGGCTGGGGAAGGTCATCCACAAAAGATGTGGTTTGGGAGAAAGCTCAAAACCAAGCTAGAACTCACAGTCTCATGGTTTATAGCCTCATTTTGTAGCTACTACATCAAACTGGCCCTCCACTTTTATATTAGGGAGGACTTATTTCTGAATTCAAGCCTTACAATCCACACATTACACTAAGCCATGGCCTGTTTTAACTCTAGTCTGTAGAATAACCGTAGTGACTCGGCTCAAACAGAGCAGAGACATGTTTCAGAATCAGCATGCTAACCTAGAAGTCAGGTAGATCAGAACATCTGCTGTTTTCCCTTCAACGTTTTTTTTTTTTTTTTTTTGTGGAGAATTTGTGGTGTGAAAGGAGGGAGAGATGTCATCAGAGGTTACCAAAGAGCCCTCAGCTTCTCCCTTTCTAGCACACCGGATTTTCGTAGCATATTTGCTGTCCTGTCCAGATGAAGAACAACTCAAAACGTGCCCCATTTTTCATGAAATGTGTCACTCCAATGAATTCAGATTCAGCAGTGGGATCTCATTTGTAGTTTGCATTGTTTTACTCCGTGTGTATATATGTATTTATAAGATTCATATTTCTTCCTGTCTTGTAAAACACAACTTTGGATGGCTCACTCACAACAATAATAAAAACACAAACAAGGAAGCAAGCTGGGGCTGGTTTCATTTGAGATGGGATTCATAGAGAAATCCTTGTCAACAAGTCAGATCTTCACTAATGTTCAGCTCTTGGGCAAACTAATGAGGAGGACCACTAGGTTGACGTTCATCAAATGACTCATGCTCCTTGTTGGTTACTTGATCATGACTCCTTTGCTTCTGCTTGCTCATCCCTTGTCTTTTCTTCAGCCAAACCAGTGAACCGGATGGAGGGCACCTCCAGACCATTGATTGCCAGGGCCGGCATGACGGAGAAAATCCTGGTGGCCACCTGCATATCCTCCAATGGGAAACCTCCTAGCACTGTGACCTGGGACACTAAGCTGAAAGGCGAGGCAGAATTCCAGGAGATCCGCAATGAGAATGGCACCATCACTGTGATCAGCCGCTACCGTCTTTTACCAAGCCGAGAGGCCCACCAGCAGCAGCTGAAGTGTGTGGTCAACTACCAGTTTGAGCGTTTTACGCAGAGCATGACCCTCAACGTGTTGTGTAAGTTGAACAAACAGGAGTGATGCTTAGCAGTGGAGCTGGGACTTCAAAGTGACAGAACTTAAAATGGGAGGTCTTATCACAGCCACCTTAATTAAGATTTGATTACTTCCCTTGTTGGGGAGTTGCACTAGGTATGGGCTTCCCTGAAGGAGGAGGGACAAGTAACAAAACGTGTGATGATGTCAGGACACGAGGACATCTGCAACCATCATTGTTGACATGATGGGTGTCATGCATGTGTCATTTTGACATCATTGTGGTTTGCTGCAGAAGCCATTGTTGGGAGATGAAGCTGGTCTCCAGGACATCCATTAATGTCTGAATCTTCTCTCACCCTACCTCCTTTTGCTGTTTTTCCTACTCTCCTGTCTTCTCCTGACTCTTCTCTGCTTTCCCTCCATCCTTCCTCTTTTTCTCCTTGCCTTTCCAATTCCACTTTTGCCCTTACCTGTCCAATTTTTCCTTTCTTCTCCTGGGCTCATCCTTTCATCCTTGTTTCTCTTCATCCTTCTGTTCTCCACGCCTTCTCAACCCCGTTCTTCCCATCCTTCTCTTCCTCAATGTTGCCCTCATTCCTAATCTTCTCAACCACACTTCTACCCTCCTTGGCTGTCTTGATTCTTTCTTCCCTCCGTCCCTGCTTCTCTCTTCCCTTACCCTCCTCCTTCCTTTTTTCCCTCTCTCTCTTTCACCCACCTTCTTCCATTCTGTTCTCCCTGTCCTCCTTAACAGATGAACCTGAGGTTAGAATCGATGGTTTTGACAGTAACTGGTATCTCAACCGGAAGGATGTCAAACTGACATGTATATCTGACGCCAATCCCCCCGCCATGGAGTACCAATGGAAGCTGTAAGTATTGACCCACAGCACATGGATGAACAGTTCTTTGTAGCATTGAATGAATGGGGAACCAACTGGGAACACTTTTGCGCCCGTAAAGTTGCTTCAAGAGCTATTTGGTCAGACTGTGCCGGTGAAGGAAGAATGATTGACACCTCTTTTCCTCCATTTTTTTACGAAAACTGTACCCTGAAGACTGCAAAGTAGCGTTTCTAAGCAAGGCCCAGTTTAGCTTTTCCATTTGTGCTGCTGTTCTCTGTGTAAGTCTTTTATGCCACCCTTTTATTTATTCTAATTCTAGTCATTTCTGCAATATTTGTTACATGGTGGGTTCTGGGTTAGAAAAATGACCGTACTAAATGCTGCTGATGACATAAAGAAATGCTTTCTCTTGAATTCCCTTGTTCAGTCTGATAGAGGCAGCCACCATATAGAGAACAACAGAAGTTTTAGGGGTTAAGGGGAATGGACTGCAACCCATTCCCAGTGCCTCCTCCGAATCTTAACAAATACAGGTAGTCCTTAACTAACGACTGTAATTGAGCCTGCTATTATGGTCATTAAGTCATGCCGGTTGTTAAACCGGTTATCATATGACCGTGCCTGATTTTATGACCTTTGTTCAGTGGTTGTTAAGTGAACACCACAATTGTTAAGTGAACCCATTGTTGGCGATGGGTGTTTTTTGCTGGAAACCAGAAATAAATAGCAGTTTCTGGCAAAAAAATAATAAATTGCAAGGCACAGTGGTTAGAATGCAGTATTGCAGGCTAATTCTGCCCACTGCCAGCAGTTCGATCCTAACTGACTCAAGGTTGACTCAGCCTTCCATCCTTCCCAGGTTGGTAAAATGTTGGGGGCAAATAGGCTGACTCTGTAAACCGCTTAGAGAGGGCTGTAAAGCACAGTGAAGCGGTGAAGCAGTATAGAAATCTACGTGCTATTGTTATTGCTAAATCATGGTCATTTGACTTTGGGGTGCTACAAATGGCTGTAAATGCAAATCAGTTGCCAAGAGCTTAAAATGCAGTATTGTGAATGCAGAGAGGGGGGAAGGGCTGGTTATTGGAACTCCAAAACTGAGTTGTAAATACCTTTGGGGGGGGGCGGGCCTCCGTCCTAACTTTTTGACCCTATCAGGATGCAGGGTGAGAGTCTCCCTGGAGGGCAGATGTTTCACAAAAGCAAAAAAAAAAAAGGGGGGGGGGGAAGGCCACCATCCTCCCACACATGGTTTCTGCAATCAAGAGCATCTAATTAGCAGGCGAGAAGATCTGACCTGTTGCACCTCTCAGGTGTAAGCTCATTCTCACCTTTCATGGCTTGCAGGACTTCTTTAGACCTCAGAAGTAGGTCTCTGACACTGGATTCCAGTTGGTTTCCCTGGAAAACATTCAAAATAAAACCCACACATCTGTTCAAGCCTGGTCGTCCTCAGATAATCCTACCTCTTTTTTCTTTCTTTCTTTCTTTCTTTTTTTTAAATGCTCCTTTCTCCTGTTTGGCAACTGAGACATTGTTGGGGATATCAGTTTCCACCCACCTGAGCATCTCTGACTGGCAGCTTAGGAAGGAGCATGAGTGTTTGTATGTGAGTTTGTGTGTTTCCAAGCAGACACATTTGGATCAGCAGCTGCTGAGTCATCGGCCACATCACCTGCAGTGACCTGGATGGAGGCGAGCGAGCGGATGGTCCCTTCCCCACAAACAGCCCAAGAAGAGATGGGAGTCGTGCTTCTCAGAGGCCCAGTGAGGGCTGAGGTTGGCTGCTTCCTGGTGGGCATTCTCACAAACGCGTTGCCTCTAGAAAGCGAGCGTGTCAGAAGGAAAGCTTTTCTTTCCTTTCCCTTCTGTGGGCAGAGAGTTAACAGTCTGATAGGGAGAAATCATCAATCCTGGAACCTTGGCATTGACCCTGGATGGGATACGACCCTCACAACCTTCAAATATGTTTTCTGTGGTTGAAGAAGGCCAGCAGAAGAGCATTTTCCAGATGAGCATGGAGGAAGAAGCTGGCTTATCTAAACAGAGAGAGGCAATCTAATCATCACCATGGGTTGTTCTTTACAGGATTCTGTTAATGTATCTTTACAAGGAAGAACAATGGGCTTGTTTGGCTGTGTTTCCTGTCCATCTGGCAACGGATGGAAACTAATCAAAAAGAGAAGCAACCTAGAACTAAGGACAAATTTTCTGACAGTTAGAACAAATTAATCCGTGGAACAACCTGCCTCCAGAAGTCGTGAATGCTGCAACACTGGAAGCTTTTAAGAAGAGATTGGACAATTATTTGTCTGGAATGATATAGGGTTTCCTGCCTGAGCAGGGGGTTGGACTGGAAGACCTCCAAGGTCCCTGTCAGCTTCTATTCTATTCTATTCTATTCTATTCTTTTCTATTTTCTATTCTAATCTATTCTATTTCATTCTATTCTACTTTCTGTTCTGTACTGTACTGTACTGTTCTGTTCTGTTCTCTGCAGACACATCCTTTAGTCAAAGTCCTAGCACTCATAATGTTACACAGTTTGGTCATGAAACATCTGCAAGAAAACCACCAAGCTCAGAGAACATCAAGAACCCCATAATTAATCAATGGAACAGCTGGCCTCCAGGAGTTGTGGGTGCTCCATCACAGGAGGTTTTCAAGAAAAAAATAGGACAACAATTTGCCTGGGATGGTATATGGACTCCTGCCTTGGGCTGGGGGGTTGGACTGGAAGACCCCAAAGTCCCTTCCAGGCCTAAAATTCTACGATTCTAAGACCCCAAATCTCCCACTCTCTTTCCTTTCTTTTCAAAATAATGCATTATTAGCTTTCTGGTTGGGAATGCTATAGCTTGCCTTAAATTATAAAGTATTGGTTGTTTCTTCTCAAAATCCTTGCCAGTGGGGCATGCTAACATGGGCAAAATCAAGCTTCCATCTCTCGGATCAAATAGCTTATGGTTAATGATGGTGGTGATGGTGTTTTGAAGGCAATCAAGTAGATGGTGAAACTGCTTTAGAGGACCTCGGTGTTGGGCTAATATTTTCGGAACATTAATTGCTCTCAAGGGGAGGGAGGGGTTTTCCCCACCACCCACTGATTCTAATTGGAGCTTCGTCTGAATGCAAATCGGGTCTGTCACCCCTGGGTTGGGTGCTCCTCAATTGCTCTTGCTGAACTTAATTGCTTTCCCTCGGATTGATTAAAACATGAGTAAACTGCATAATTTACCTCTGTGTACAGAGTTGTTTGTGTTTGCTCAGTGATTTTTCCAAAACACTTCGGAATTGATTTATTTTTATTTATTTTTAATCTTTTTTGCTGAGCTTCTCTCAGTTTCTATCGGGGCTAACACTATGAGGCTGCAATTCCTACATGTGGTGTTTTGTGGGAAAGAACTGTTACTATAGAACAAATAGCATTAGCAAATCCATTTTTGAAGCGATGGGTGAATAAAATAGTCTAGGTTGAAGTTATCGCTTCTTTAGGGCCAGGGAACTAATTTAATTTTGTTTTTTTTCATCCTATCCTTTTGTTGTTTTTTAAAAAAATCAAGCAGTTGTATATCAGAGGTTAGCAACATGGCAGCTGTAGGTCCCAAAAGATCCTCTCTTCTAAAACTTAATAATTTAAAATGTTTTTGAAACACTGAAATAGGATGGCAGCCCCCTCCCCCAACAGTTGGTGTTTTTAGGAGGTGACGAGATCTTGTGCAAAACTGGGGGCTTTTTCTTTGCGCCCAGGCATGTATTGCTCACTGTTGCTGCAAAATGATCTCTGTCACACCAATAAAAGAGAATATCTGCAGCTTGCAGGAAAGCAACCAAGCTCAGAGAGCACCAAGGACCCTGCAAAAAGCCAACACTCACATCAACCCTGGCAGGGCAAGCCACTTTTATATAAATAGAGAGCAAAACCCACTCCCTTCTAGCACTGATGATATTACCTAGTTGGGTTGTAAAATGTCTGCAAGAAAACAATCCATGTTCAGAGAGCACCGAAGGCTCCGCAGTTCATCCCTGAGCTACCAATATTCTCTTCTGTTGGTTAACAAAGAGGACTTCAGAGAAGAGACTTTAGAACTTGATAGTTTCCAAGAGATGTGTCCGGGCTGTGAGTTGGAGATGTTGTCCAGCTGAATCATAAAATATCTGCAAGAAAACAGCCCAGCCCAGAGAGCACCTAGTACCCCACCGATCTTCTGCCTCTTCACCCAGTCCCATACAGGAGAAGATAGTTAGCCCAAGATTCTACTACATCATTGATCAGGAATCGCCCTACAGACGGGTTTAAGCTATGTTAGTTAATAATTTAACATGGCAGCAAGGTGTCCAATGACTGTTGAACTCAATCATCCACTGCTTGTAGAATTAGCTAGCCGGATGACAAGCTTTCTGCTAATGGGCCAAGGGTTTTGTGTTCTTGTTTTTGACAGGCTGAATGGCTCGCTGCCCGACAGTGCCGAAATTCAAAACAGCACTCTGTTCTTCAAAGGACCGGTCACGTACAGCCTGTCGGCGACATATATATGTGAAGCCACCAACACCATCGGCACCCGATCTGGGCAGGTGGAAGTGAATGTCACAGGTAGGCATTGCAAACCTCTACCTTGTTGGGGGTTGCAAAATATAAACCTAATTTAAGCTTTGGGCTACCTCTGTATTTTTATTTTTATTTTTTACAAGCTTGCCTTGAGTTCTCACATCTTCTCTGCTCCTCTGGGAAAAAAGCTATGGAATCCGGTGGGATTTTCTAGCCCTTCCATTTATTTACAAGGGTGTTTTTCACTAGGAGTGCTGGTTTTCCTGGAATTCCTGTTTCTTCTCCTGCTTTTCTCCTTTGGCTGGCAATATCTCAATTTAGCTCTCTCTTTTTCTTTGTGCCCTTTCCACATCTGGTTGAAAGCCAGAAGGATGAAAGGCCATGAGAATCAGAAGGAGGGGTGCATATATATGTTTTCTGAGGTTTTCATGGGTGTTTGTATGTAGGTCTTTGGTTGTTCGGGTTTTCTCCCATGTAAAATTGGAAGTGTCTTGGCAACGTTTCGACGAAGTCCCATTCATCATCTTCAGGCTGGTGTTTTCAGCTTTGTGCTTCGAGGAGCACAAAGCACGAAGCTGAAAACATCAGCCTGAAGATGATGTGCTCCTCGAAGCACGAAGCTGAAAACACCAGCCTGAAGATGACGAATAGGACCTTGTCGAAACGTTGCCAAGACACTTCCAATTTTACGCGGGAGAAAACCCGAACAACCAAAGACCTATATACATACATACATACATACATACATACATACATACATACATACATGGGATGTCAAAAGACGTGCTACAAGGTCATGTCTGAAAAAGGATGAAACAGGGCTGGTGTTTTGTTCCTGCTGATTGTTTTCAAAAGGGATGTTTGTTTTTCAGAAGCTTTAGGAATAAAGTCACCAATCAGGACTGCTGTAGTTGAGTCCCTGTTGGTTTTTCAGATTTCATTCTTAATTCCAAGCATGTAGAGATTGTGTGTGCGTTTGTGGGTGTACAGTTTCCCTCCAGAGTTGGCTAAGCCACAGAAGGAAGGGTTGACTAAGAGACAAGGTGCGACATTAGCAGAATTGATGGGCAGGAATCAGGAGAAAGAAGGGTGGTCCTACAGTCAGAAGATAGCAAGAGATGACAGATGGAAATGCCATTTAAAGTCCTTCAGCTGGGGTCTTCCCAGTTGCAACTCCCATAATTCCCCTCCTCTTTCCTTTCAAAAGTTTTATTAATTTATAATATACGATACAATGAAAATACACGAGTAAATAGCGGAAAATATGGGAAAGGGAGTTAGAGAAGTGAGGTAAGGGAGAAAAAAAGAGGAAAAAAGGCATTGACTTCCAACTTCCTTTGGTGCAATAATAGAATATCAACTTCAAACCTCAACATAATTCCCCTCCTCTTGATGCCATACCAACCTTGAGAACACTAAGTTGGAAGACTCAAGGGGAGGAAGCGATGTCATGCTATGCCGGCTGGGGAAGTCTGGGAGTTGAAGTCCACAAGTCTTAAATGGAGACCCCTGTTCTAGAGGAATACATGAGTTTTGCTCTCAGAGAAACACATGGACCAAACAAAAAGTTCAACCGTGGTTCTGAAAAAGAAAATTCAAAAATATAATATAAAATCTCCTAATTGGGTTCTCGCCCAGTCCAGATGTTGGCCAGAGGGAAGCTTTAGCAGTAAGCTAGATCAATTCAGGCCAGCCCTGACGCTGAGGCTGGATTCGTTCCCCAATTTTCCCATTTTCTGAATAGTTATTTTGGATCCCTCTAGGCATAAAAACTTGGGATATAAACCCTGGTCCATTCCTGCTACATCACTGCTTCTTCTCATCTGCAGCTTTCTTAAAAGGGCATTTGCACTCTGACTAGGGATGAAATCCAGTATATATATATTTTTAATTTCATTTCATTTGGTCACTTTCAAGTTGAGGACCTGTGCTGTTTAATTCACGCAGTTGCTGTTTTGCATTTGTTCTGCTCTGGTCAAACAGGTTGTGTAAATTTCCCAAAGCTTGATGACAGTCAACACACTTTTAAAGGCACCTATAACTTTGCGGCATGGATGTACGTCATCTATCTGGGTATCTTTACAGGCAGTCCTCACCTTATGACCACAAACGAGGCTCAAAACTTTTGTTGTTAAGTCAGACATTTGTTAAGAGAGCTTTGCCCCATTTTACAATCTTTCTTGCTACGGTTGTTAAACGAATCACTGCGGTTGTTAAATTAGCAACACGATTGTTAAGTGAATCTGGCTTCGCTCGGCAGAATGTCGCAAAAGGGGGTCACTTGACCCCGGGACCCTGCGACTGTCATAAATACGAGTCAGTCTCCAAGCATCTGAATTTGGATCCAATGACCCTGGGGATGCTGCAACGGTCATAAGTGTGAAAAACGGTCATAAGACACAAGAAGAAGAAGAACAGCTTCCATCCTGCGATGATATCTGTAATACCATCAATTCAGACGTCCACATCTGCCTAGCCCACTCGATAGGTAGACAAAAAGGCCAAATCCAGTCTGAACATCTGGCTGACTGTGCGATGATTAATAATAATAATAATAATAATAATAATAATAATAATAATAATAATAATAGAATTGGAAGGGACCTTGGAGGTCTTCTAGTCCAGCCCTCTGCTCAAGCTTGAAAAAACGGTTGTCCACTCTTCTTAAAAACCTCCTTAAAAACCTCCAGGGAGGGAGGGAGGGAAGGAAGGAAGGAAGGAAGGAAGGAAGGAAGGAAGGAAGGAAGGAAGGAAGGAAGGAAGGAAGGAAGGAAGGAAAAAAAGAATAGAACAATAGAATAGCAGAGCTGGAAGGGACCTTGGAGGTCTTCTAGTCCAGCCCTCTGCTCAAGCTTGACAAATGGTTGTCCAGTCTCTTCTTAAAAACCTCCAGTGATGGAAGGAGGGAGGGAAGGAGGAAGGAAGGAAGGAAGGAAGGAAGGAAGGAAGGAAGGAAGGAAGGAAGGAAGGAAGGAAGGAAGGAAGGAAGGAAGGAAGGAAGGAAGAATAGAACAGAGCTGGAAGGGACCTTGGAGGTCTTCTAGTCCAACCCCCTGCTCAGGCAGGAAGCCCTCTACCATTTCAGACAAATGGTATTTTTTTCAGTGCTGTTGCAACTTGGAACAGTCACTTAACAAACTATTATAAGTCAAGGATTACTGTTTCCCCCATGGCTCTTCCAGGTCCCCCTGCAACCGTCTCACAATTGGGAGTCTAGGGTGGAGTTTTATATCTTTGCAAAAACTGGACCGCAAGTCTAGCTTATCCGACCTTTTGGTTGCCAATGTGAGCTGTGGGAGAACCTAATAATTGCAGAAGGGGAAAAGCCACATCCTTCTCGTGATCTTTCCCAGCAGCTGGTAGGCATGAAGATAAAAAGGAGGGCGATTAAATAAAACAACAAAAAAAAAAAAAAAATCCAGAATTTGCCAAAAAGAACAGATCATGAATGATGGCACAGTATTAAAAATAGGCGTCACTCAGAAGCAAACGTCCATGAACTGCAGTGATTAAAATGCTGTGCTTTAAAGGGAAAAAAAGGCAGCTGAACTACACATAGGCAGTCCCCGAGTTGTAACTGTTCATTGAACGACCTTTCAAAGAAACAAGGGACTGATAGCCAGTTCTCGCCCTTACAACCGTCATGGCAGCTCAGGGTCACGTGATCAAAATTCGGGCACATGGCGACTAGGCTGTATTTACAAGGGTTGCAGCATCCAAAGTCACAAGGTCTCCGTTTCTGGCCTTCCCTGCCAGCTTCTTACAAACCAAGTTAATGGGGCAAGCCAGGTTCACTCCCTGCCTAGGAGAGATGCACTTAACAGCTGCAAAGATTCACTTAACGGCGGTAGCAGAAAGGGTAGTGAACTGGGGCATGCGCCTCTGTCTTAAGAACCGCCTCGCTGAACGATGGAAACTTTGCTGCCATTGTCACAAATTGAATGGCGGTGCCAACTGGGGTCACTTATGGGATGACAAGGAGTTTGTTAAGTCACCCTTGGGCCCAAGGCCTCTAAAATTGGGCAGGGGGCTACAGCTAAGAAGGCCCTGCCACTAACACCCAGCCCTTTGATCTCTCATAAAGCTGGTCCAGATGATCAACTGTTCATATGATTTAATCACCATCTTTTATCGTGGCTTTCCTGGTGCTGGAAACCCTCCTCCCTCCCCCCAAAAAAAGCTTTTTAAACAACCTGCTTTAAATGGGAATCCTTGTGACTCTTGATATGTGCCAAAGGGAGTGTCAACTGTCTACCTGTCATGTCCATTTTTTATTTTCCTAGGCCTTCGGTGCCCCCTACTCCAGTGGTGGGATTCAAATATGCGAACAAGCGGTTCTCTGTGTGGATGCCGCTTCCAGAAGTCCGTTCTGGGCCTGGGCAACAAAAAATTAGCTACCGGTTCTGCAGAAGTGGTGCGAACCGGCTGAATCACACCACTGCCCTACCCTCTTAAATTTCAGTGCCTCCTTGATATATTTTTCAGCCAGGGCAAAATGCAGCTTTCCATCCCAGGAGCTGAATCTCAGCGTGATGGTATTTTAAAGGTCTGCTCTGAAGCCCAGAGAGAGGTTGGAAGGCAAAAGGGCCCGAACTCGGCACTCACATCTGAAGGACCCACTTGTTCCACACCCCATGGGTCATTCCTCGGCCCCCAGGGAGGAACAGGCATGGCTGAGCTGACCGCGGTGGCCATGCGCGCTGCCAGCTGAACGTTGCCAGTTAGGGCCCATTAAAGCAAGGGTTCAGTGGAAATTTTATTCTCACAATCTGTTCACGGAGTAGCTGCGCGTTGCAGTACATTTGTTAGCTTGTGCTGGATCCAGCCAGCGAGGTGGGGAAGTCTATCACGGTTGGCTTGCGCAATCTTAATAAGGGGAGTCCAGGGAGAGAGGAAGCTTGGGGTTGAAAGGAGCATGCTTTGCTAACCATGCACAACTGGGCATGCATAGAGAGGAGAGTTTCATGGATGGTTACTCCACTCTGCAGCCAGCCAGGCTTCCTCATTCAAAAGTAGGCAGGTTTGACTTTAACTTTTCTTTGAGA